AGAGAGAGAGAGAGAGAGAGAGAGAGAGAGAGAGAGAGAGAGAGAGAAAGGAACCTGTGCGACAAGAACAGCGAGTTTTTAGTGGCGCCATCTACTAACAGAACGCTCAAGCTTGTCGTGAAATAGTTCCACTATTCCACCGCTAGATGGCGCCAACTTGTTACCATACGTTTACATTTAAATTAATTTATTAATTTATACTATTGAGTAATGAATTTTAACGCGAACGCTCATAAAGCATTTTAAATTCGACCTGTAATAGAATTTCGATTTTTAATATCTTTTTTTTTGGGCTTGTTTAACCAAGTGGCGCCATCTAGCGGCGAAATGGTGGAACTATTTTACGACAAGCTTGATTGTTCTGTTAGTAGATGGCGCCACAAACAGTCGCTATCCTTGTCGCACATGCTTTGTTCTCTTTCGCACTCGCACACAGGATATCATTGAATCGACTAAAATTCAATACGTCAACTACAAATAATTTATTATTACTTAATAACCATCAGAATCGTATCGAAAATGGTCCTTGAATGTTGCCACAGGTCTAGATTTTATTCAGTACATGTGAAAGTACAATAATTGTATGCGGATTGTTAACAAACAATCGGTTAATGCGAGGTGTCAACGATCCGTACCGTTGTCGTGTTCACCTTGCCTAATAATCATTGATTATTACTTAATAACAACGAAAATTGTATGGAAAACTGTCCTTGAATATTGCTAGTAATCTATACTTGACAACACAATTGCAAAAGTGCATGAATTATCCTTGGAAAATTGAAAAATAATTGATAATGTCTGTTAACATTCGGAGGAGTGTCTCTATCCTTGTCTTTCATATACAATAGCTTTCTCTCTCTTTCCATCACCCACGATCTATCCTTGTCTTTCATGTTCCTTTCCCTCTCTTTCTCACACTCGCTCTATCCTTGTCTTACATATTCCTTTTTCTTTCTTACACACGCACTCGACCTTCGGGAGTTGGCCGCTAGATGGCGAGTCGGTCAACTGTCACGAATGATAGCTATATGTCATATGACGATTCCAAGCATATATGCACTCCTCGTCAAAATTAGAATGGCTGTATCTCTGCGAAAAATGGTCGTAAAAAATATTTTAAAAACGCATTTTAAAGCTTGAAGCTTCTCGTTTTTTAATCAAGGACTCAATTTTTTTTCTATGTCGATTATAATATTGTTCTTTCAAGATGAAGCGCAGGAAGCGAAGTTTCAGAAATTTTTGCCTAGTTTGACCGTATGCACGGGCTAAAAAAAATGTTTTCACATAAATCCAATGGATGGTGCTTATAGAGCAAACATTCCTCTTTAATTTGGTTTTTTTGATTTTGTCATATGATTTTTTTGACCGATTTATTCGCTATCCAAGCAAAAAAGGAACTTTTAACTTTTGAACGCCTACAACTTGCGAACGCACGATCGTAGAAAATTTTTAATGAGTGTTTTGGAATGCTAAGACAATTTTTTTCAGAACCTTTAGTTGCCAATTCAATGAGATCTTTTTTTAACCGTATTAAATTTATTTAAAGATGATCCCAAGAATTGCATACTTACCATTTTCTAGAAAACGTGATCCCACTTCAAGAAAAATCATTCAATTGATCACTTTTTTTTGTAAGATGAAACTACTCCTTAAACGCTTAAAAGAAAATAAAAAAAAAATTAATTAAAAAAGAGTCAGCTACCCTTGTCGCATATGGTGCTCTCTCTCGCACTTACTGTTGCGCGTACCCCTGAATTTAAAACTATTAATAAGCAATTCAGATCAATGCAAATCTTTACAACAATAAAGCCTGAATGTTGCTACTGATCTTATCCTTTGCACCTGACGTGTCAAATATACGACGTATTTGCATTTAATTATGGAAAAATCCGCAAATAACGCATGTCATCGTTTGCAGGGTGAACGGAATGAACTTTGTCTTCAGTCTGCATATCTATGATGATATTTCCCTTGGTTACGAATCCGTCAAATAGAAACACGCGACCTTTCCATTAGAAAAATGTAATCCAGCTATGTTTAACTCCTCCCCTGTCGCGTTATTCCGTTCCTTCCATGGGCTCGCGATCTCTGTTCGCCGTTGATTAGATATTCACGAAGCGACGGCTCATCGTCGCTGCGAATCAGTCCGAAAATCAGATTTCTTTCCGCGTCCGCGGCATTTCATTCGCGCTGATACGTACCATTGCCTCCCTGCCGGCAAATAAGAGCCAGCGGCTGAAATTGAGTTACGTTGCGAGACTTCCAGCTGCATAAACAAACTCGATTTACCTTTCCCTTGATACGCCGCATCCTAACGACGCGAATCCTTCAGCGCGTATGAGAACCGGTTAAAAGAGCGAAAACAAAAAGCAAAGACGCCCCTCGGCGGCTCGAGGAAAGATCCACGACGGAGGGTGTCAATGGAACCTGAATGAAGAGTAAAGGTTCGTCAAGATTGAAATTGGTAGAACTGCATCGATAAGAAGTTGCAGCTCCGTGTCTCGAGTAGCTACAGTAAAGTCTGCCGAGCAGTGTAACATGATCCGGGACGGGATATATCCCTGAGAGGTCCAGGATCCTAGGATCCTTTTCCTAGTCCACCATAATTGCACTAGTTCACTCCCGAGTTTGTGCATTTATGAAGACTTTTTACTGGACCACCAATATCCTCAGAAACGGCGACCATAAGCGTCGAGGAACCGTGTAGATACGCAGCGATTGAAAACGTGAACGCGGGTCGCAACACGGACCAAGAAAAATGAAGAACGAGGGAAAAAATAATGGAACGGAAGTGGTGACAGGGGAGCAATGAATCGTTCGACACCGAGGGTGGATGGCGAAGGAAGGCGAGCTGATGGAACGGATGGAAGATCGAGGATTCGATAGGTTCGTAAAAGGCAGGGATAGAACTCTCCCGGCGTATCCGATGCATTTCGTGTTTCTTCTCTTTTCTTTCCCGCGTCTCTTCGCCCTAACGTCCAACTCCGTGCCGAAAGGCAGACAGTGCTCCACGAAATCAGTCGCGACTCGGATTCGCTCGGCGATTCCGTATCACCCGTAAATTTCTGTCGTCGTCGGGGACTTTTTTCGTTTCTCTTCATACCTGAACTCGCTTCGAAAGCATTCCCGTTAGCTGCAGGGATTCTTCCTATTTCTCGCGCGGAACTTCGAAACCTTCTTTCACGAGAGCCCGAAGCTTTTTCTTTTTAACGAAAAAGCGATTTGAACACCGCAGAGGACAGCGAAGGCTTAATTAAATCTTTTTACGAGGCACCAAAGGAGACCGGTGTGGCCAGTTATAGCCTTCTAGCGAAAAGCCGTGCGCTCGTATTAGATACTCGCCAAATGAATTATATTATTATTCCCCGTACGAAATAAAAACGGAATACGTTACCTTTAATTCCGCGTGTCCATTTATCGAATAACGGGTGCATTTCGGGAATGGTCGGGCACCAAAAATGCGGAAATTCGGGCGAAAAGGAAAGGACATAGGGAATGTGAAATAATTTATATTAAATTTTCATTGCTGAATGTACTCTTCAACGACTAGAAGGCTTCAGAGACTCGGGATCCTCTTCACATTCTGTACACCGTGGAACTTTAAAGTTTCTGCAGCCGAGTTCTAATTAACGAAGGACCGAACAGGAACGCGAAACAGTTGGCCCCCTCTTCGTTCCCGACATTTTCAATTTTCATAATTCACGGTTTTCTACAATCTCGCTGAAATGCGACCCGACCGAGAGCTTTCGCAACTTTTGAAACTACGCGCTCGCGAGAACGACTTAACCGAGTTCGCATCTTCGCCTAGGAGAAACCGATGATTTCTTTGCCGCTCGAATTTAACGCGCGAGCGTTTTTTCGTAGTCTGGATTTACTAGGGACGGTTCGACGGGCCGGGAACAATTTTAAACGAATATTTATTAGAAAAGGCAACAGGTAGATTCGAGTTAAACGGAATATAGGACGTTGTTACGAGTAATAAAATGTAGTTTTGAGCGAAACAATGCAGATTACAGCATCCAATCAACCGTGTACCAAACGCTAATATAAATGTAGGATACGAGATTAGGCGGAGGTTGTTCCTTATTTT